AGAAGTCAGATTTAACTAATGTTCATCAAATAGAATACAGTGGTTCAGTCAAAAAAAAAACAACTAATGTTCATCAAATAGAATACAGTGAAAAAAACCAAATCTCCATTTCAAGGCCAGGCTTTCAAGGTTTACTCGGATACAGCCGTGTGACTTGTCCTTCTCACAGAGACAGAGAGCACAACACCATCTAATTAAATGTAAAATTTCCCAAAGACGACTGTGTTTGGTGGGTCAGGAGTGAGTATGCTGGGGTTAAAATAAGACTGCAGGAAATGAATGTGAGTCAACTCAATATCCTCTCAAGTCATTGAAACATGCACAAGGGCCTTTCAGATGGTTCGGCAGCACAACACAGTGAACAGACAACTCGGTTGTTGTCTACTTCTACAGACAGACAGTGTCACGACTGTACTTTCTACCCACTGGAGAAAATATGCAACCACTCGTGCAGACATCCACTTACTGTTTACTGGGGATGTAATGCTGCACTGGTTAAACATCGATACAAATGTCGGACAATTCACACTGGTTGGAAAAAAAAAATAAAAAGAGCTTCAATGTGTAAGCAGTAGACTGCATTATCTCAAAAAGTCAGTGATGGTACGTGCCCAAAAATATGGTTGTGACCTCTTTTAAACCAAGGTCTCACTTCCCCACGTAGTGACATACAGTGACATTCAGGTGTTTAAACAGAACAGAGAAATTCTTCCACAGACACAAACAGTATTTTAAAGTGTTTCTGAAAAGTAAAGAAGTTCCAGTTAATATTTTTTATATTTTTGTGTGTTTTTTTATATATTGACAGTTCACGAAGTAAATAAGACCATAACTTTTAATTCAGGATTAATAACAATTTGCAGTGTTTCTGTAAAGAAATTTGAATGTTGTGTATAAAGATAACAATTTCACTTTATGAAGTATATTTTGTCATAATTTGGTCTGGAGCTTATTTTGTTTCAAATAAATCGTGATAATATCGTATTGTGAAGAAAAAAATTGTGAATCTTATCGTGACTTGAGTTGGAGCTTATTTTGTTTCAAATAAATCGCGATAATATCGTATTGTGAATCTTATCGTGACTTGAGCGTATTGTTACATCCTTACTGTTTACCCTACAAACTTTGCTGGTGACTTTTGAAATTCAAAGTCAAACTATATGATTACAGACGTTAATAACATGAGCTTCAGCCACAAAATGCTAAAGAATTATTAGTTGGTAGGGCAGTGGTACGCCATGTATTTAAGTATTTAGGCATTTTTTACTTTTTTTTTGGTCATCTATCCTCATCCTTTCAATTTTCTGAGGCCTCTCTAGCGCCTCCTGGCAGCCCCCACTTCGAAAACTACTGTCCTAGATATCTCATGTTGCCATAAAAACGCCTTTACTGAAGCATTCTTTGGTCATCCAATCAAATCACTCAAAACACAGATGTAGTTGTATGTCTGCTGAAAGGCCTCGATGTCAACAACTCAAAATGTGATTGGTTAAACAAACAATCAACAACCGAGATCCAAATTAATCTTGTCAAAGTTATGCCTGACAGAAAAGAACACTTTTTTTAACAAGCTACTAGTTAACTGAACTAGCATCTTGTAAATACAGTACAGCAATTGTATAATCTTGTCAAGAAAAATAGTTTTATGTGTGTTTACGTCTCCATACAAGAAGAGTTGAGAAGAATTACATTGAAATATTTGTCCTGTTACTTGTAGTGCAGCCTTTTTACAGTATAGCATGAGTAATAAGAAGATGAAATAAATCCACCAGAGTAACATAAGTGTCGTCATATTTCAACACCCAGCGTGACTTCAGTCTGGGAATCTACACATCAAGCTACAGAACAGCCGAGGATAAGATCAATGCCAAATGCAATACATTAGTACTTCTACGTCTAAATATATCCATGAAATAAGTCATGACGGCAACAAAGTGAACGAAAATTCAATCAGACTCTTCCATTTGCCCATAGACTCACAGCTTCCTGTTCAGCCAGGGATAGGAAGCAGCATGTTAGAGTGCAAAAATGAAAATAAAGTAAATTAGCACACGGCAACTGAACCATGAAGAGAAAGTTAAACTGTGACACAAGTGCTGACAACGTTAACCTAACACCTGCACCTGAGAGACACTTTAACATCAGCTCACAGTCTTCAGATACAGGCTCAAACATGATCTAACTTACCTCTTGTTGCATAAAACATGCTCTTCCAAAAGTGTTTGTGTATTGTATTTCAAAGAGAATAATTAAAATTGTTGTAGGATCACAAAAAAGACAAAAAAAAAATGTAGATCTTTAAAAGCAGTTAAATTTAAGCCAGTCCCCCCCCCCCCCCCCAGAAAATACAATTGGACAAGCAGCTAAAAGTCAACCTAAAGTAAGCTAAAGGTAACCGTGAGGGACCATCCTAACTGAAACACTGAAAGCAATAAAATGACCAAAATAATAACTGAACACTGTGTTGAGATAAAGTTAAACAACGCTGAGAAAATGTTATCACTTTGGGCAAAAAAGACAGATGGGAAAAATTGCCAGCATAGAATTAGCTGAGAGTCAGAAAAACTAACAAAGTGCTGAAAATGTATTTACTGAAATTGTATTTCCAAAAATATCCAAAGTAAGCGCAGAATCTACTCAAAAACAGACGGAGGTTTAGCCAAAGAAAAAGATAACAATTAATATCTGTCAAGGATTTGCTCATAGAGAAAGTACGCAGAAAGGAACCAAAATACATTAGCCGAATGTACAGCATGACTCAATGAGAAGATTGATGAAAAAACAAAAGTTTACCAAGACTTTGTTAAAAGCCTTACATTTGGCAAAGACAAGATTTCAGACAACATTTACCCAACAACATATCCAAAAAGAGCCCAATTACAAAATAATGGAATGAATTACAGCAAGGTTTGGGCCACGTTTATCCCCAAGTTAGCCTAGCAATTATTGCTACATTGGAAATATGGTATGAAATTGTTTTAAATATGTTTTCAAAAAAACAAATACCACATGTTACATGAAGCCACCAAAAGGTCCACTTACAGTGTATTGTACTTTACTGTACTATACTGTATTATATTATATAATACTGTGCTATACTGTGCTAAGCTACGCTGTTCCACAGATGACAAAAGTACTGCCAAAATTAGCCAAATAAATGTGATTACTCGCCTTAAAATAACAAGAAAAAAAAAACATGTAAGTAGTACATGTAATGAAGTACTTACTGTATAGTTGAATATCATGTTCATAATAACAATAATTATAACAACAATACCAAGGGTTTTTTTTTTTAAACCGTGCCTCTAAAAATACACAGGGTTCTTCAACTTCATTACTCATTTCAGAAATACTACCGTTGTTTTGTGAGTACAGAGGAACTGTGTAGGTCTGTGTGATTATCTTTTATTTATTACGCCTGTCACCGCAGAGTGAGTGTGGGGGAGTATGTATCTGCATGGTGGAGCCGTAAAAACATGCAGCTCACAGTGTAGAGTAGAAAGCCAACAAAGCTCCACTTCACTCTGTACTGTATGTCATATACAGTATGTAGATGCATGTCACTAACTGAGGGAACCATCAGGTTGTCGCAGCCTGGGATAATGTCACAATATCAGGTTGCTGCTAGTTGCACATCTAGCAGGTTATAGAGTAACCCCCACCATGACGGACCAGTGCATGTGGTTAAACTTTACGGTGACAGCCCAGCAACGTGGGAGCTGAAACCACCCTGCTGTGGATGAGTAGTCACTTAGAGGAAGCATGAGCCGAGATAAGTAATAAAGGGCTATATGAAAATACAGTAACAGGTTAAAAAAGAACGAAGAAAGAAGAAGAAATGTAATTTTTAAAAAAAATCAGCATTTAGAACTGGAATTGCTAAATAATATTGAAAAATATTTTAAATTAAACACATGAGAATTTTGTGCAAATTTTCGATATTTTACATTTAAAATGTTTTATTTCTTCAAGCTAGTTTTGGCCTTACACTTGGAAATTGTTTGGAAATGTGTGTTTTTAGGTCCTTATAGCTATTTTGCTATGCTTTTGCCAAACAATTTAAACATATTTTTTGGTACCTACTATTAGCTCTATGTGTTAACTCTTAGCTATTTCAATACAAAAATAGATACCTTTACCAGGGGCTTTTCAGACAAATATCCAAGTTGCATATTATATAGTTTGTGACTGATCCTCAAATTTTTATATTTTTTTGGTTACCTATAAAAATATATGTATATATTTCATGTTTACAGTAGCCTGTGCTAACAGCCATTTACTTACTGACTTACATTGTGCAATTCCAAGGCTCACTCTGTGTATGTTCTAAGCATCTCACAATTTATTTAATAACTTATAGGTACCTTTAGCAACTCCTGGGCTAAGGTCTGTGCTTTTAGCAATGAATTTGCTTGAGAACCACTGAACATGAAGTGAAGAATGGAGTGAATCATGACCATGCCGGCTAGTGTAGCAAGACTGACAGTGTTGTTAAACTTTCTAACTTTTGACTCTGAGAAAGTCCTGATTTGTGGTGCTTTTTGTTGTAACACTATTTCTCCAAATGAGATGAAATAAACATATTTTGTTAAAATGCATCTGTATGCATTTTCACATGGATAAATATTCCCACATTAACAAACTGCAAAACAGTAATTATTAGTTACATTAAAAGTTTGAGGGGGGAAAAAGTCATGTTCAATATGTAAATTTGACATTTTGCAGTAGTAGAAGCGTTCTAAATATTTCTATATCAAAATGCTCTGGTTTGCACTTGGAGCTGAGGCCCGACCTGTGCTTTCTTCACTGTCCGTTATGAGCACCAGTTGCAGCAATGAGTGACTGCAGCCAAACAAACGCATGAATAATTACACATTTTTCTCAAGGCAGTAGTTTCAACGTAAAAGTTATTCTGTGGGCAGAAAATCCAAACAGACGGTCATTTCACTGGAACTGACCACAACAAGAGATGAGAATTAAAGTAGCAGTTAGTCACTTACCTCACACACTCCACCACAGCTCCACAATAAACACTTTCATCACAACATGTCCACGGGGAGCATCAAACACAAGTAACAATTATGGCAAATCTTCATCAGATGCAGAACCAGGGCAGCGGTGAGTCCACGGAGGTCCCTGCTGATGCTGGAGCATTTCAGCGCATCAGGTCCACGGCTGTGGATGAGCACTGTTTGGTCCTCGGGTACGTGACGGACGCACAAGCTCAGGTACAGGAGAGCGACACACACCCTCGGTTTGACAAACCAGAGGAGCTGCTCACAGGGCAATGTTGGTATCACTCCGCCGCTGCTGAAGGGGCTGCTACTCCTGCTGCTGCTGCTGGTGGTGGTGGTGGTGGTGGTGATGGAGCCTGAAGAGCGGCTGTTGCTGCTGCACAGGCGCAGAGCTGCAGCTGCCTGTGCACCGTGAGGCATGTATTAGTGCACGCTCCCGACAGCCCGTGCGCTGTTTACAGTCACTCCGACGCTGGTCACTGTGAGAGAGCGTCTGTGCTTAACTGTAGGAGCTGGCACTATTTTTATGTCATGAGCACGGATTTGAAAAAACAGAAAGATGTAAAGGGGCAAAGCCGGAACAAGCCGCTTTTTTAGGCGTGGGCTGTTTGATTTTAAAGGAACAGGCGGTTAGAGCAGCAGTGAGAGGGTGGCACGCGAACACCAACACACAAACACAGAGAGACTATTTCCTCAAACATTTTCATAGGTGTAGTTTCAGCAAAACGTACAGATTCTGCTTCCTTTATCGATCTTTACATCACCAATTAAATCAACTTGCGAGAATATTTTGGATTGTCAATGTTGGAAAACACAGATCATGCATCTCCCTCTACTTCCCCGCAGGGGGTGCTGAAGATGCATATTAAAGGTTAAGTGAGAACCCCCATTCATTCATTTTCCATTTGCTTAATTCTTTCCAGATAGACAAGAACCAAGCCCACTGGGCGTACCCATTGGTACAGAGCTGTGTACTGTAAGTATTGCATTTGTTTGATCATTTTACCCCGTGTACGATTTACCATCAGTAAATCCAAAACTCCTACAATAATTTGACCCCGTCATCAGGCGACTTACTAAATTTACCAGCACAACAGGAAACAGATCCTACTCACCCAACTCTATAATGTAATGCTGACTTATGAGCCAGCATTGTATCATGGCAGAACAGGCCTAGCCGACTTTATTTGTTGAGGTACTACACTACTGAGGACATGCTGGTCTGTGGAGCTGTACACACCCAACAACACTGTGCAGATTTCTTTTCCCCTCAAAAGTACAATAAACGTGTCTGACACGGACTCTCCTTCCATTCCGTAAACAACTTTTGTTGTTTAAAATATATTTTAATAAATCAAAATACATAAATAAACAATATAATATTTTCTTCCTTTTATTGTTGCGTGAACAGTTTGAAGCTCAGCTGTTTACTCTGGACATTTCAAACATTCTGTCTTTATCATTTTTTCTTTATATTTTTTTATTCCAGATTTTTTTTTTCTTTTGACTTTGATGTTCTTAATGGCGGTTTCCATGGAACACTTGCATGCTTTTGATTTGACTGGATCTTTGTTTTTCTTCTTTTTATTGTTATATCATTTCCAACCTCTCCTACAGTTCCCTTTGATATCAGGAAGATGACCCGACACCACCTATTCTATTCTCCCACCCCCTTTTTTTTCCCTTTGTGTTCCCACATGCAAACTTTTTTTTTTTTTTATCCACGTGCACGGTCAGTTACGGTAACTCCTGCCTGTGGCGTTCTCCACTGCTTGTGTACAATCCACACAATGAAAGACATTTCTGGGTCACATTTTAAGAAGAGAAGACATGTGAAGAAAGAGCATAAAGTGAAGGAAACATGAAAAACCCCTCAGCCGTGTGCGACGTGCAGCCAACTCACTAAGTGCTCAGCCAGCTGCACAGAGATTTCACTGAGGTCAAGCAGTGAATGACCAGGGAGTCATTGTACTACGGTGGGTATGATTGGACAGAAAGAGGCGAGAGGAAGTAAAACAAATACACAGTTTGTTTCATTTTTAACATCTGTTGTATTACTTCTTTTCCTTGCAGACTTCATTGTTTTATCAAAGAGTCAACCAGATTATTGTTGCACAATAAAAAAACAAACAAAAAAAACAAAAACAAAACAACAACCTTGACCATATGTAGCGGTAAAAGTATATATTTTGATGAAAGGGCATAACTCAGTCACAGCGTGGTGAATTATGCAAATATGTATTACCAATCTAGGTAATAAGAATATTAGTACTATATTACTTACTAAAATAACACATTTCGGCTATCAACTGCTGTCAAATTGAAAAAAGAAATGCACGTTGTTTCAAATTCAGTACATTTTCCTTAAGAAATACAGTCACAGTGGGTAGTGGTTTAAGGAAGTGAACCTGGGTCCGGAAGGTTTCATGTTCGAGTCCCCCAGCTTAAGGTTACCACTGAGGTGCTCTGATCATGGCACCATGGCACCGTCCCCACACACTACTTCCCGGGCTCTTAAAGCTGCCCACTGTTCACTTTGGTGATGAGTTAAAAGCAGAGGTTACATTTGGTTGTGTGCAGTGGTGTGCTGTGTCACTGACTTTCCTTTCCTTTCCTTTTCTCAAACGGCATGTGTACCGTCAATGGTCCTTGGGTTCCCTCTAGTGGTATGCGGGGAAATCAGATTTATTTTAATCTTCGACATCTTGGCTCTACGTATGGCTCCAAAAATTGATTAAAAAAATCATTGACACAAGTTTAGATAAAGACTCTGACAAACGTCAGTCAAAGCCATCAGTTAACGGCCAGCTCTACTTTTCTCAAGTACGTAAAATAGGTGAGTTTGCTTTTGAGATTACAAGAGTAATCATAATAATCATAATAAGTTTAAGATAAGTTTAAGATAAGTTTAAGAAGAGGATTTAATTTTCAGGACGAGGAAAGAAAATGCTGTAGAGGTCACCATATCTGTGGATTGATTGGTAGGCTGCTATTACATAGACCTTCCTTCAGATGGCGCCTCAAAGCCTGGTTTGTATCCTGGATGTGTATAGATCGACACCTAAGGGACTCGTCATCCTCAATCAGGAGTCCTCTGTTTAAACATCTGGTGAAGGACATGTTTCTTAGTTACACTACGTTCTCAAAAATTGTATATCAAATTTACCTGTCGTGCAGAGCAAATTTTTATTTGACCCTCAATTGGACTGAATCCCAGTCCAACTTCCTGAATACTGATGCTGGGCTGTGCTCCATCCCTTTCCTCCAGGTTGTGTTGTGACGGAACCTGCAGCAGTTCTGCAGTTTCCTCTGATTGTGTCTCTTTAAATGATCGGACTTTTATGCCATGCTACATAGTCAGGTACAACAGCCAATGAATATTTTTCCACTGCGCAGGTCATCTGGGGTTCCCCAGCTTCCTTTGGAGATACCACTGATGCGAATGTCAGTGTGAATGTCCGTCTCTGCCTATACAGAGGCTCCTCGATTTACGTCTGAATTCAGCGTCTGCTGCACAAAGTAACTCGAAGTTTGACGTACTGTACATAAGTGCCTATATGTCACTCACCCACGCTATGATGGTGACGTCATAATCTAGGACATACAAACATCAGAAGGCTTTGATTTACACCCGGGAGCCATAATGAAGGGCAAAAACTTTCCAAAAACCAACACAAACGAACGTAGCACAATCCTGTGTGTGCCGTACACCCGGCGAATGTAAATAAAGCCGTTTTCCGTGTATAATGCCACGTTTATGTACGAAATTCTTCATAAATTTTAGGAACATGGCGATGTAACCATGAAACGCCGTAGGTCGAGGATGCTGTAAACCTCCTGCTTGTAGCCTTGCTGGTCATTTCGTTCCACACACTTGTTCCATGAATTCAGGTATTTGTTCCAGTTTACTTGCCACACTGAAAATAAATGAGGTTTTTCAGACAACCAGCACTGCAATTCCAGGCAGTACAAAAAGTTAAACTTCAAGCTCCCACCCATTAGAAGTTTGGAACTTGTGAGACACTTGCAAAAAGCAAAGTAAATCAAAGTTCCTAAGGCTAAATGGATGTTCGTTTAAGGGCAAGGCCACTCTCAAACCAACCACTGTCTTCCTTGACAGAGTTTAATACAAGAACTGAACAAAAAACTTAATAGGAATAGGCACAAATTTAAAAGAAAAAAAACTGTGGTTCTTTAACAGATCATTTTGGATGGTTTCCACTGACATCCTGCGTTCTGCTGATAATGTCAAACTGAAGCAGTGGTTTCTGTTGCACATGAACCCCTTCTTATCCCCTGGACATTGACCCCACCTTACGCTGCAGTGACCTCAGTTTGAATGGTTGCATTGTTCAAATATATATGTTGAAATTGTAAAACCAATTAATCAATCAATCAATCATTCAACTGGCCAACTAAACCACAATCCGACTTACCTACCTTTTCATCCACCCATCTATCAATTTAATCATCACTTTCATGTTTTTTCACCAACCCAAATGAAAGAAGTTCTTTCCAGGACACTTCACAACAGTTACTTTTGCAGAAGTGTAACTGAAAAGTAAAGTTGTAAGATACTAAGTTTAGCATCGGAAATTATTGTGCAAAAGCACTACTGCTTTCATTTGATTCTGTAAAAGCACTCTTGTGCTTTTTCCTACTTCTTGTTAGAACTTTAGACTTTTCACATTAAAAACCCTCTTGTCTTTAGTCTGTTACTAAAAGCTGTACAAAACTCCAAACGATTTTAGTTGTAAGACATTTTACGGCCTCAAATGTTTATGGTAATACTTATGGTAAACAAAACAGACACACATTGCGATTTGGTAATGGAATAACATGACAAAACTGTAGAGGTTTAACAATAAAACTATTATGTGAGAGGTTTGACCTCCATGTGGCCTCTGGGGATTGTTTTATAGTTTTACAGTTCAACTACAATAGACCTTTCTAGTGATTGCTGTTAATGAGGTGTGTCACTGTGGTCACTCTTTTCTTCTGTTTGGTTTTAGAATGTTTAGGAAGAGCTGGTGTTGTGTTTACATTTCTCTTGGTGTCACAGTATTACTGACATTTCTATCATATTTAACCAATTAAAGAATTCCATTGAATGTCCAATGGTGTAAAACATGACCAATATTAAATAATTCACCCTCCTAGAAGCTGTACTGATGAAATAGGTTATTTGTTATAAAATATCGTCTCAAAGTATATTTAAACTGTTTTTATTATGGGTTATTATTATTATTTTATTATGGGTTTTTGTTGTACTGAGCAAGTTAGTATGCCGTATACATTAATGTTTTCACACTATTCTTGGGTCAGTCAGTTGTTGTGTAACAGTTTGATACTGTAAATGTCAACTTGTTACACAAGTTGACATTTATCACTTACATCGTGTGGCACTTTGGTCTCTGTCATTGGTGTGGAACATTTGACATTTGACATTAAAACCAAAAATTGCAGGGATTATTGAGGAGGAATATGTAAACACTTGACCTTGGTTTGAAAATTTGAAACTAGTTTTCATATTACTTAGAATATTTTATGCTAATTTCTGCTAATCAGCATTTTACTGAATTAAAACTGCTTTTTTTGTCAAATGTTAGAGTTACTAACTTTGAGTTGTGGCAGTTGGTTTCTTCAGGGGTCCTTTTTTTTGACATCACATCCTGTCACATGAAAGGGTGGTTACACTAGTTGACATAAGAGGGAGAAGTTTGACTTGGCAGACATATTTTCCCTCGTTGATACAAATTTAAGAACCTTATTAGTTTTAGGGAGAAAAAAAAGTCTGATTATGCCAATATATTTTAGAGGCTGTTTCTTTTTACACATTATTTCAAAAATGTATATTTTTGTGCTATATTATACGGTTACACTAATTAGATAATCTCAGAGTTAATCTTCTTATCACAAGCCAGCCACTAGAAAACGTGACCATGAGCAGGAAGTCAGAAGAAAACAACAGTGTTTGAAGGCATCTTTCTGCTGCTCCTCCCCCATTTTTGTCAACTTGGTGGAGCGTCTTTTTTTTTATGGAAGTGAAAACACAATTGTAACATAATAATGAAAATACATGATGCCAACATGTTGAACATGTTAAACTTAAATATTTTGCCACTGTTATTAATGTGTATAAAAGTGTTTTTTTCTGCAGTGTTTTCGATTGGTCCTAGAATTTTAAATTGCTATTTTATAGTGTCACATTTCTGATTTAATTTGTTACAATAAATAAGCTGTATATATATAATATGATATATTTGAAACGAGGTCCAGGTCTAAATTACACTGTTACATTCTGTTTAACTTTTGGTATCTGAAGGCAACACAAGCCTTTTCTGTAAGCTCGTAAATTAAACAATTGTGCTAAATAATTATATCATTCGTGTCACTTCCGGAACCCCGTGCTTTGGTTTGATACAATTGTTATACACCCTTAAGAATGTCCTCAACAAACTACCTTGAAGACGAAGCCTTACATTTTTCCAACTTCCCCTGAACGCGACAATGTCTCAAACTTATTCAAGAGCGTTCAAGTAGCGTTCAGGTACATTAAAACCATGTAGTTACTCAAAGTTAATCTTCTTATCACCAGTCAGCCACTAGAAAACGTGATGAGGAGGAAGTCAGAAGAAAACAACAGAAGCGGAGAAATGTGTTGTCACTGCTGCTCCGCCCCTATCACTACCATCACCAACAATCGCCAGCATCATCATTTTGCCATTTGCTCACAGGCAGTTAAAGGGTGAAGCTGAGAAACAGCATAAATCAATCACAGAAGTGGCCGAGCGACCGCAGTGGGCGTTCAAAGACACCCAGTCAGTCACTTAAACATGTGAGGAGGAAAGAGGGAATGGGAAGTACCCGGACTTTTACTGAGGAGTCTCTGGACTAAGGTTGAAAAGCTGAAGTCGACTGCAGGTCTGAAAGTTGATTCAGGCAGCGCGAAAAAGCTGCACAGCAGAGGAAGACGAGGCAAAGTAAGTAGTGTACAGAGCGTAAGCGCTTATTAATCCGTACTAACACAGTCTGACAGAGCCACGGATTCCACCGGATAGTCTGCACCGCACACCGGAACGACTGACGTTGTCGACAATAATCGATTAATTTAATGACCGTTTGTCGAGATCGTTAGTTATGTGTTTGTGTTTATGCTATAACACAAACACAAAATAAGAAAAGAAAACAGTTTTGTCGGAAAAAACACATCACCTCCATAACTGATCATGTTATTCGATCAACAAAAGTTAATGAATAAAGGTTTGAAGTTTGAAATGAAAAGGTTAATCGACTATTACTACGTCATATTTGTTGCGTTGTAGTATAGTGTACTGACTTGGTAGTTCTCAACTACAGACAACCTGCACTTAAGTAGAATAATAAATAATTAGATATTTAATATAAAAATGGTTACTCAAGAACCTCAGTAACTGCTAAGTATCATCATTTTGTGATTAGGCTTCTCAAACGTTTGGTTGCAGTGCTATTACACAGCCATGAGCCATGAAACAAATGTATTTGAAAATCTATAATAATTTGTCATAATGCTGTGCAAAATCAAATCCACTTTCAGTCAGAGGCTGCAGACTGTTGCTTTGTAGTTTCAATGCTGGATCATGTTAACGACCATAATGATTCATAAAGAAAATTTTGTACAAGCACGGACGCAACCAGTGCAACTTGCAAGTAAGATTGTAAGTCATCTTAGTGATAACACCTACGGCACGATGCGACATTTTCTAAAGCTTTATCTTTTATAGCTTTGTCAGCTGTTGGGCTGTGTTACATACTCACCTGCTAAGGTTTCTCAACCCTCAAAATAGAACAATTTTGAAATCAGAACAGATATCAATTTTTTAACAAAACTAAATGTTATTTATTCACTTACCTTGACTCAAAAGTGATTACGTTACCTGTTTTTTCATTTTTTACAGTTTTCTTTGGGTGCAGGGCGTGCTAAGAACTCCTGGGATAGTACGTCATTTTTGTATGATTAGGTCGTGTGTGACTGGTATGAAGGTTTTTATTCAGGCGTGAGACCTTAATGAGTGTGTGACTAAAGCTGCTGTTTGTGAGAACATTTTAAATTTATATAGCTCACCTTGGCTTCTGACTCTTGTCCTGTGGTGTTTAGTTTGTGGTTAAATCATATCTCAGACAGCCAACAGATGCTGTTTGTTTTGAAGACACTGAGAGCTTTTAGAAAGAGAAGAAAATGAAAAGTCATGGCCATTCCCCCCCCCCCCCCCCCCCCCCCGGTCAAACCAACTGTTGGGCAGTCAGCGACTTAAGTAACTATAGACAGGAGATGCTCAGTTTACGACATCCTTGTTAGCGTTACGTAGTTATGTTGCCATCTCCGATAAATTTATTAAGATAGTCCTGTTCTACCAGTTTGCCTTATGGCGTTAAACCAAATTTTGCACCGGAATTAGTTGGTGAGCAGAGCAGACAAATTCGTTGTCACTCGGTGCTATACCCAGAAGACGGTTTTGCTTACATTTGCTGGTTGGACTCCATAAACTGGATTGTGCTACATTGACTTACCTTTAGTTTGTTTTGTTTTTTTGCCCTTCTTTATAGCTTAGGTCAGAATTTTCTGATGTTTCTATTTCCTAGATTATGAAGCTACCACTCTGTTAGCATTGGTGAGTGACATAGTTACAGTACAGCATGTGAGTTCCGACTTACAGCTAAATCGCGTCACAGGAACGGAATTCTGACGTAAGTCGAGGACCCCCGGTATTCAAGAAATCAAGAGGACTATTAGAGGAAATGTATACTTTAATTTCGGAATTTTTTAACTTGAAAAAACTAAACCTTTTCTTTCTCAATGTGTGTATTTAGTGGGTGGTTTGCCTCTCACTCAAAACCTCTTTTAAGTTGTGTTTAAGTTAAATTAAATTGAAGTTTTAATGGCCAGGAAAAATTACACAAATTGTCACTGCTGTCATGATTCACTTCTGCTTATTGGGGTCTCAGGAAACAACTTACCAAAAAGTGACGGAGACAGAGAGGTTAAAAAAAAGTTCAATTGATGTTTATTTTATCATTATGCAGCAACACCCTTTGATGTTTCTTCACTGGTTATCAGTACCTACTAAAAACGGAACTAAACAGCTTGCAACTTGTACGATTACTTTGCCAACAACAACTGATGGTCTGCTGTCTTTCTACTTGTACTGGAGACACTTCAAGAGAAGTGTGAACACACTAAAATGAACAAAGTGTTGCACCTTGCCACAGCCTAAGCCACATTGCTTAGGCTGTGACCATTGATGACTAATAATCCTGCTGTCTGTTAAACAGCTTTTTTCCAAATAATTTACTCTTTCAGATGTCTGGAAAGTTAACCCGAACAACGTGGGTGAGGTAGCTCGTAAATTGCCTCAGTGACCATGTATTCTACATCTGATCTCTTTGTTTACCTTGGGTTTTTGCATGTGCCGTCAACATGTACGTCAGCATGGTATCTGTTCTCATCAACAGTTAGCAGAAGTCTTTTGTGAACAGTTGTCACTTCATCAACATTCTGCTCTGTTAAAAAAGTAGAATGTGAGGCTGTGCTGAGTTTTTGCCGAGGCAGACGGCAAGACTGAGTCTGGCCCTGCTGGAGATTTTTTCCTGTTGAAAGGGAGTTTCTGTCTCCCCACGGTTGCTAAAATGCCCGCTCAATGTGTGGCTTTTATCCTACTCTATTTTGTATCTTTAATTTCAATTTTAGTATAATCATCGACTCTATATACATTCCTCCATTCCCCCTGTTAATTGGGTTATTAGGGGGATATTTTAAGTTTGATTTCATTTTCATTTTATTTCAAACTGCTAAATCAATTGAGTGACATGAATTTGGGCTGTGTAAATAAAACTGACTTGATTAACCGGTAGTTTAATCTTATGTGGTGGGTTGGATTTATCCAGAAATGAAGCTCCAGTATAAACAAACCACAATATTTACCGCATATGCCTTTACCTTCTTGGTATTTCACTTCATGTGACAAGAAAGTAAGTAAAACTTTGATGTCTATAATTTGAACTGCAGGCTCAGTTGAACCAATGAGGCGTTGAGATGTTATAGATGAATTACATGCATTGCTGCATCATGTGGAGCCCTTAATCAATTGGCTAATGAAACCAAACGGGTGTAACCAAAGCATGTCCCCTGAAAGGTTCATAATCATGGTCGAACTGGAGCCTTAGCTCGAGAACACTAACATTTGACTGGCGCCCCCTGTCTTGAAAGCTGAAAGCAGCTATTCAGGTGCTGAGGATTCTTGTGTTTTTTGAGGTATTTATTTTTCTTGATTATAATTTATTTGTAGACTTAGACTTATGTTTAAGTCATTCAATACCAGAACCTGCAGAAATCTCTCTATTTTCTTAGTCTTTTAACACAAGGAGGAATATGTTGCTCCATTTGCTAACACAAGGAGGAATATGTTGCTCCATATATATATGACAGAAATATTGACAGAAATATTGCTTATATAGTGGATTTTGAAATATACCTATTAGGTTGGATTTATGAATTGGCAGATTCTTTTCATTATCATTTGATAATATAATGATTTTATAATCGTAGTTGTTGGCCCTAATAATCCTAAATCTTGAAGTATGTGAACATTAAGTGTTAACTATAACTAAATTATATTCTTCTGATGATTAGGAGAAAACAATCAGATTTTTTATGTTGAATATTTCTCTGGGACATGGGAGTGAATCGTTTTTGCATTCAGACTTTAATATGGTAAATGTCCAAATGTTTGAGTGTGCAGCTGAATCATCGAAGCATTAATCAAAAAGTTTGGAGCACTAACAGTAAATATTTATAATGTTTTTCCATAAGGGCCAGCATAGCAAATATATGTGTAATGTGGATCATATCCACTCCCTGACCCAGTGAATGTCAAGAGCTGGACATTCTGCAACTGTTTGGTGTCAAATCATGGCCACAAATGTGTCAGACCACTGCAAAGAGCAATCTAAAAATTCCAAACTTGTCCAAAGAAGGGCCATACCAAAAATTTCTGTTAAAATAAAAAATCTTTACTGCAATCGAGTCCTTGCTCTGGCTGACTGGTCTTACATACATCTCTGCCGTAAACACTGACATCTGGTCTTACGAGCGCCAAGGCGTCAGGGTGCTGATAAGCCTCAGTGAAGAACTGCTCTAACTTTCTGTCTGCCTGCTCAGTGATAAACGTTTGGGTGTGAAAACACACTAGAGAGAGAGAGAGAGAGAGAGAGCTCAGTGTTTTCCTGTTGTTTTTTACACAGGGGTGACGATCCTTGCGTCAGTTAAAATGATCCAAGTTATAAACAAGTCATAAATGTTATCAAAAACCGAGGCCTTTAAATACATACACACAGTAGGTATTGGTTAGTTATATGTCTGTTGCAGGTTGAAAAGAGAAGGAGACAGTTTAACCCTGATAATAACTAGCAGCAACAACATTAGCAACAATAACTGTACTTCACAGTCAGCGTTTCAGTTTCAAGCTTCTGTGCAGGAATCTGAAATATTTCTCAGTGAGCACCAGGATCAGCAGGATGTCCAGGCTCGGAATTTCCTAATGAAACTTTTTCATAATGTCCATTTCTGTGATAGGGAAAAAGGGAGATTGCTAACTGCACAAAATTATCAGTTCATACTGAAGGTCAGGTTGCTCAGCAACATTCACCAACAAAAACAAAGAACATAGCAACCACTGACAGAGTATCTGTGCTGGGCGATATATCAAAAATACTTGATGTATCTCGCTATATCTCATCAACTATTTCATGAATATTAAAGGATAAATTTCAGTCGCTTGGTTTTAGTCGCAGACCTTTTCCCTCGTTTCATCTCTGCACGCTCGTTAGAAAACTGAGGAGTGCTTGAAACTCCACGTAATCGCCGATGCAGCCGACATTGGCACAGTTGAGTCTGGCCTTTTCAAGTGGGACCAGTAGTGTAGCGAATGGAAAGACATTATAATAGATAAGCTGCTCAGCAGGTTGATAAGCCTGTTAGATTTTCGTTTTAACGATGGATGAACCACGTATTAGCCTGCAGATCTGGATTAGATTGGTCTACCTCAGTCAAATCTAAAGTTTGTGTTGAGACGAGAGCACCCTAATGGTATGTGCTTCTGCTTTTTATTAAAGAAGCATCAGTAGCCAGATGAAGGAAGACTTTTCCAACTAAAATACCGGAATGTTTTCTCACAGCCTGTTAAACATGTGCATTTTCAGTCTCGCAGCTCAGCGAGTATGAGAAGAATAATCCAAAGTGTCTGTGGCGAAAGCTAGAAACAAACAACACGTTGTTACTATTTACAGTGAAGACAGTGGAAACAAGTAAAGGGTTACTTTCTTATTTTACCCTGTGGAGTGTGAAACTCACAGCATCCCACCCTGGGGTCACAGATACAGCACAGACACATGAGGGTTTTGTTGTCAGCTGATGAGTCATTGACCGCAGAAAGGAAGTGCAACGCAAACATAAACAAACTATGCAAACAACACCAGGAGTAATCAACAACAACTGCACAGGAATAGCAGGAACCAAACACTACAACAGCTACTCTTACACTGTGTCATCACGAAGGGATATGTAAAATGTAATTTGGAGCAAATGTTGAACTCACTGCTCCACATGTTACATCCTCCACTCTGATCATTCCAGTCCAGCCGACCTAAACCTGAACTAAACCTGAAATATAATTAGATATTTTGGTGCAGCCGAACTAAACCTGAAATATAATTAGTTATTTTGGTGCCTTTGGTGTCAAGTATAGTATACAGTGTTGAGTATACACTGGGTTGAGTTTTTTTATGTACTGTATATAAAGGTAGTCCCCAAGAATATTCCAGATCATGGTCTTTTCACCAGTTATTGTCATTGATGCTTTAAGATATTTACTTTAACTGAGATTTCTTTAAATTCTTTAAAAAAACAAATTAAACTACCAACCAAAACGTGTTGCCATATAACTTCAATTTGAAATAAACGAAAACGCTCAGTGCATGTCAGTTTGTCAGTTTATCAGATTATCGTTACATTAAACAATGTTTTTTGCATCATCAGCTTTCCTCATAGGCTGTTCATTAACTCGATCAGTGGCGTGGCTGGATCTCTAGTTTTCTTAGCGATCTGCATTTTCAGCTATTCAATTCATGTTTTTTTGTCATTTCAGTTGTGTATGCGTTAAAATGTACTTTTAATACTTAAATACTTAGTACTTTGTCCACCTCTGTGTACATTATGATAATGAAATGTCTTACTCAGTTGTTCAACCTTTACATCTGACAAAACACATTACAAAATAGACGCAATGGTAACAACACAACAACGATTACTCAACAACACATGAATGAAAAGAGGACCTGATTGGAGCTCAGGAGCTAAGTGTTCTGTTCAACACAAGTGAATGAAGTTACACGAAGATAAGGTGCAAGTAAGATTACAGCTGGTACAACAGCAGCAGCAGACACCAGGTGGAGGGCTGCGGTGGTCCAGGCGTCTGACAGCCTGTGGCTAAATAATCTGTTAATCAGTCTCTTTGTCCTTGCTGTCACACTCTGTAGCATCTTCTTGACAGCAGAGGTTTAGTCCACAAAAACTCGGACGCCAAGCAGCCTTAGATTGCTAAAAGAGTAGAGGAGTATTTGAGTTATTTTAGATCTGAGGACCAAATCAGTACAGGCTGCATTTCTAGTTAACCAGATTGCAGTCACGAGAAAAGTAATGTCTAATGTCTCATGGTGACTGATAGTACAGTGATAGATTACTATTTGGTCTCCGCTAACAGATAGTAGTCATAGTGACTGGTATAATAAAATCTCAAACTTCCTATAGCATCACATGGCTGTGGTCTGTATCAAAGAAAACACCTAAGAGCAAACAATAAGATTTAACAAACCTGTCTCGACTCTTCTCACCCACAGGTTAATGTCCGACCAGAGCAGTACATGGCCTGTATTCTGCTGTCAAAAATGGACACGTCCTCAGCTGACCACACCGAACACCAAAACAGTCACACGCCTGTCCCCGACCCTGCTGTGGACAACAATCCTAAAGAGGACCTGGACACCACCTGTCTCACTGTCCATCTTTACTGCCTGGGGAAAGATGTTGACAAAGACTCTGAAAGTGTGCTTTCATTCCCACCTGGGGAGTATGTAGTGGAGGAGCTGTGCATCGCTGCAGCCAAAGCTTGTAGTAAGTCACAAGTCGATCTGTCTGTCAGAACAGAACACAGACCCAGAACACCATTGCAATATGCATATCATATTATGGTCCCATTTTTGGTCAATGATGTGACAGGTATTGGATTGGAGGCAGGCCAGTCAGGCACCACCAAGCTATATATGTCTCTGCCTCTGGCTCATTGCATGCGATCCTGAAACCCAGCCTGGATGCTAACACCTCTGTTGGAGCATGTTGATTGAAAAACGTTCCAGGTTACTCTTACGACATTTTCCAGTTTAACTCTGCCATGTCTTCCCTGCGGCATGTTGTGGAGAGTAATTTAGCAAAGATGATTCAATTGGTCTGTGTGGCCAACCACACACCTAAGTTTTTACAACACAAAGTTACGAAAGTCCTTCCAGCGAAATACGCAACAGACAACACTCATCACAAATAAAACGGTAGTGTCAGAGGAAACTAGAAATAAGTACAAGGATGACCTAGAAACAAGCCTGAACTTTTTTATAAATGGCTGCTACCGTTAAGGCAGAGGTGCCCAATAAGTAGATCAGGATCTACAAGTAGATGGCAAAGACGGAACAAAGGTGCAAAGGTGGATCAATTGAACAGTAGCTCCCAAGCCAACAAAGTGTGGACACCCCTGCTTTAAGGGTTAACACTCAACCTCTCCCTCTAATAAAGTGTGAATGTAGGTTGAGTTATTTACATGGCTGAACCTCTGAGTGTCCCTGTAAATATATAGTTCTCTAAACTCCAAAAACTTAACACCAAAGTACCCTGAAAGATTAACTGCAAGATTAGCCTAAGCCTAGAGTTTTAACAATATTGAGTTAGACAAGGAAAAAGCTACGTTTAAAACATAAACATTTAGACTAAATTCATTTGAAACCTTTCACAGAAACAGCTAAATGTTTAAATTAGCCACCACATAGCAAACATTCAATCCAAAAAGACCAATATAGACTATTACGATAACTAAAAACCACTTAAAAAATAACTGAAAGGAGTAACTCAGACCTAGCCAACAATAAACCAGAAAGCTACAACAAAGTCATAATAATAGCGTCAAAAATGCTTGAAACCAGTTGACTTAAAAATTCCAGTACTGAATGACTATAGGTTGGAGTAAAGTTAGCAAAACATTAGCGTTAGCAAACATTTATACAACATTCATAAATACAAAGGCAAAAGTAAGCTCCGTTTATTCTTCATTAGCATTAAAGTTCACTTAATACCATTTATATATTATAGCAAAACTAGCTTACAGTAAAAAGTAAATTAAAAAAATTCATGCAGTAATGTCAAGTGACATAGTGTGGTGGTGTAGTGCTTTCAAAATATATCCCTCTCAGATGAATCAAGGTCAGCAGCTAATGTGCTAATGTGGAATCAAGGTCAGCAGCTAATGTGCTAATATGCTAATGTGCCTGGTCTCGTCAAGTGCTGTCATCCCTGTTAACTGTAAATAAGTGTGACGTGGATGCCCCTGCACCTTTCAACTCTGCTGTTGCCTGTCATCAGAGCTGTTTGTTGTCCTCTTAACATTTGTGAGTGAGCAGTTCTCTGTGTGGGTACATCGCTGCTTTCTGATGGACAACTCAAATCAGGAAGTTGTTGGCCAAGACTGTTGGCTCTGTCTTTCACTCTGCCTCAGCTCTATCTCTTTTTGACACGTTTTCTTGCTCCACTCACTTGTAGGCTGATAAGAAAAAACCCCACAATGACTCTTCTCTCCCTCTGCCTGCCGAGGCTGTACTTATGGGGATATTTGTGGTGATATCCCTTTGTCATGGGGAGACTCTGTTTTGTTTTGTGTGGACATTTTGCAGGTCCAAACTGAGTGAAAGGGTATTAGAGGTTCAAGACTGAGTTTGAAGTTAAGAGATAGAAGAGTAAGAAAGAATGATATTTTTAACACGTGTGTACAAATGTAACCAACACAGAAGTGCTTCAAGGGCTCACAAAAACTGTGGGCGTTTTTTAAGATTTTCTTTCTTAATCCTCACAATCCATCACAATATTCTACTTACTCGCTTTTAAAATTAAAAAAAAAAAAGTGTATTTCTTGTTTTCTTTGTTTCGTGCCTTGTAATTAGCTTCAAAGTCAGCAGACAAACCAGTAATTTGCGGACTCAGC